TTCATGCTTCCTGCTGCTGACCAACTTTATGGAGATGCAGATTTCATTTTCCAACAGGACTTGGCACCTGCACACAGTGCCAAAGCTACCAGTACCTGGTTTAAGGACCATGGTATCCCTGTTCTTAATTGGCCAGCAAACTCGCCTGACCTTAACCCTATAGAAAATCTATGGGGTATTGTGAAGAGGAAGATGCGATACGCCAGACCCAACAATGCAGAAGAGCTGAAGGCCACTATCAGAGCAACCTGGGCTCTCATAACACCTGAGCAGTGCCACAGACTGATGGACTCCATGCCACGCCGCATTGCTGCAGTAATTCAGGCAAAAGGAGCCCCAACTAAGTATTGAGTTCTGTACATGCTCATACTTTTCATGTTCATTCTTTTCAGTTGGCCAACATTTCTAAAAATCCTTTTTTGTATTGGTCTTAAGTAATATTCTAATTTTCAGAGATTCTGAATTTGGGATTTTCATTAGCTGTCAGTTTTAATCATCACAATTAAATGAAATAAACATTTGAAATATATCAGTCTGTGTGTAATGAATGAATATAATATCCAAGTTTCACTTTTTGAATGGAATTACTGAAATAAATGAACTTTTTGATGATATTCTAATTATATGACCAGCACCTGTATGTGTTGGTGAAGGAACATCTGAAAAAAGGTTAGAATATGACCTGATCAGAGAGCTCAACTCATCTAATTCAGATGGTGACAAATGTCCCAACAATAACTCAAGTTTACGCAGAGACAGAGACAATTTGTCAACTGACCTTGCGTCATACAGTCAGTGACCTCAAGTTCATCAAGCTTGGCTTCTGGGAGATTAGAACTGGCCGCCCCAAGAGGAACTGCCACAGCGACCGGTTTCACCCCAGCTTCAGTTCCTGAAGCAGCACAAGAAAATGAACAAGTTTACATGACACATTTGGGTTGCCTTCCTCCTATCTGGGGTAGATAATACATAGTTCTGATCTAACACTTTCCGTAGCACAGAATAGGGCCCCACAAATTTAGCCTGAAAAGGGGATGAAACCAGAGGCAACAGGGCTAGGACTTGATCACCGGGGCAAAAAATGCGTGTTTCTGTTCATCTGTCATATAACAGTTTCATTTTCTTCTGAGAAGACTCCAGTTTTGTTCTGGCACATTCTACATGCTTCAAAGTGCCATTTACCAGAACCATTTACATAACCCAACAGGGGTTTAGGGGGATCAGGTAGTTCCCAATTCTCCTGTAGTAGTGCCAGCGGGCCTTGGACATTGTGTCCAAAAACCAAATCATTTGGACTGAAACCAGTGGTGGATTGGATAACTTGGCAGCCAACAACAACCAAGGTTAACCTTCTTGCCAGTCTCGGTCCAACTCAGTGAAGTAGGATCGTAACAAAGATTTCAGAGTTTGATGAAACCTCTCAAGAGCCCCCTGGGTCTGTAGATAAGCACCAGAGGTTGCATGTTTCACATGGAATTGTTTCAAAATCTCACCAAACATCTGTGAAGTGAAATTTGTGCACTGGTCAGTCTGAATAACTTTAGGAATACCAAAGATATAATAATAAACTGACTTAAAGCCTTAACCATAGATTTAGCTGTAATGTTTACCAAAGGATATGCGGCAGGATACTGTGTGGACTGACACATCACTGTCAACAGATACAAACTTCCACCCTTTGGCAACGGGCCGACACAGTTGATCAACAAATGCTCAAAAGGTTGCAGGAATAGGAGACAAAGGCACTGGTTTAATAGTTTGGTTAGGCTTACCTGTTAACTGACAAGTATGACATGTCTTATGCAGAAATATCCTTTTTCAAACGGGGCCAGTAAAAATACCGCAGTACTCTGTTGTAAGTCTTTTGCACCCCTAAGTGACCTGCAATGTCATCATGTGCTGTCTGCAGCACACCTTCTCTCAGCTTGTGTGGTATCACAATTTGAAATATTGCCTCTCCAACAAAGCTTTCACCTTGTGGCAACCATTTTCTTACCAACACCCCCTCTTGTAGGAAATACCCATGTGCTGCACTGGTCATTTCACTGGTAACTTCTGAACTCAGGTCAAGCTGAGTCTGCATTTCTGGTTTCTCTAGACTTGAATCTGAAACAACTGCATCAGCAGCTGGGTGTGGATTGGTATGGAGTTTGACAGCAGCGATAACCTCATCTCTATGAGTCCGCTGTGCAGGACCAGCAAGAGCGACAGGCTTAGATCTCCAGCTACTTGGTGTCTTGTTTTTTGCTTTAAATACTGGACAGTCAATTTTCCAGTGACCTTTACCATGACAAAAATTACAAGTTTGATTTAGATCTCCTTTACCCCTTCTGTCATGCGAGGACCTTACCACTGGATTCTCCATTTCTCCACCCACTCTAGCTTGGCGGCCCCTAAACGAGTTATCCCTCAACCCCACTCACTCTTTCCTCCTGTATGAATCTTATGGGTTAAAGAGTAGTCATCAGCCAATACTGCAGCGTCAGCCACCTTTTTAATGTGATGTTCAATGAGGTATGTGGTAACACTTTGAACTGTCCTAAAAGAATTTGTTCCATAAAGTCATCCCTATTCTCTACCTCAGAAGATGCTGTGCTGTGCTCCAAAATTAACAGGCAGAAATCTCAGCACAAATCCTCACATGTTAACTTCTGCAGCTCCAATAAAATGCAGCTCACAGCCCTAAACAGAGCCAGATTGTGCTTCAGGTTTTAGATGTTTACAATGCAAAACTCTACCAGCAAGTCTGCTGGCTGCGTCTCACCGCGCGGGGGTGGTGCATTAGCTGGGTGGAGATAATTCTCATCGCTAGTCAACGTTATCAGAATAAAGATTTGTTTTTCACTGTGTGAGAAGTTTGATATGTGGCGCTCTACGTGTGAGTGTTAGCTTACACAGCGCGATAGAGAGGTCAGCAAGCCCTTTGTGACTGAGATGATAGATGGACCTGTACCGTAGCTGGTGATAGTGACTGTAGTAACAGCGTGAGGAGATGTGCTCTGCTGTAGTCAGTGCTTGGTCGGTTCAGTTTCTCATTTGCTAAGTGATAATAATAAATTAACACACACACACAATCCCTTTCGTCCTCGAGGCATCCCAGAGAATATTGTGTATGTCTTCGTACCAAACACATTTTCCCCAGGATGCCATAGGTCTCGAGCCCTGCTATTTCCTAACGTTATATCTTATTTGTTGTTTAGTTGTTGGTGTTCATCGTTTTGTTACTCATTTTGTTTCTAAAATGGTCAGATTATTCATTATAGGCCTATATGTTTCCTTTTGTGTTCAGTTTATTAGGCCAGTATGTTCAGTTATATTCAGTTAATGATCAGTTTTCAAGACCTGAGTTTAGTTCTCTTTTATGGACCCAGAACGTATTTTGTAAATTGATTCTTGTTTTTTGCTAAACATTACCCTCATGAAAATCCACCTGGCACTCCTCATGGCTGCCGGTTTAGCCCATTGCAACATCTTGTATCTAGAAAAAGGCTGGAGATAATGTGGAACAAAATCGAGTGTGAACTTAATAATAACTCATAATTAATAACTAACTTGACCTGGATTACAAATGATCTTTAAAACTTTTTGGATTAACCACTTATAATGCTATTAGTTACAACATGTGCCTGATTAGAAAGTAGCAGAGGTATGGATTCGAGTGACATGACTTGGACTCGAGTCAGACTCGAGTTGCAAATATGAAGACTTTAGACTCGACTTGACAAAATCAAAAAAGACTTGCAACTCTACTTTGACTTAAACACCAATGACTCGTGACTTCACTTGGACTTGAGCCTTTTGACTTGAACTGACTTCATAAGTGTCATTTACCCTGGGGACGCTGGGGACATGCCCCCTCCACATTTTGAAATGGCTGATTTTGTCCCCACCACTTTGTTCTGTAAAACAGCTTGCACCAAGAAATGTTAACTAACAAATGAAAATGCTTTGAGAAAGGTTTATTTGCACAATAAGAAAACATGCAATCCAATTTAAATATAGAAGAAACAAACGTGCATTGTCCAAAAAAGTAAGTATAAAAAAACAAGCAGCTGCATTATACAGTATTCTGTTATATTTTTATATTTATGAATTGTCCACTGCTACCTGAATTTTTTGTTTCCCTTTATATAAATGAAGACATTTCCACTTTAAATTGCTGCAGAATATGTCTCCAGAATGGAGGAAATTCAGTGTTTAATGCTCCAGTTTTCTGTGGGAGGACCCCCAGACCCCCCACTTATATATTTCAGCATTTCATATTTCTTCAAAATAGTGTTAAAAATCTTTTTGTCTTGTTCCCATGCATCGTCATGTCTCGTTACCCAAAATGTATCATAACGCCCCTAATCTGAGCCATTATGTCCCCACCACTTTTCAACACAATTTGATGCCCTTGACTGACTTGAACCCTCCCCATATAAATGATAAATTATTATAATAAAAAACAATATGTGCAGCTCATGATCAACACTTTCTTTAAAGTTCAGGAAATTATATGACATTTGTAGTGTGAAACTAGCCTCTGCCTTGTTTCTGTACAGTTTAAGGCTTTATTCAATAACTTTTTTCATTTTTAACTTTTGTTAAACATATGAAATGGTATTAAATCTGGTCACGAGCGCATTCTGACTTGTTTAGGACTCGAAACTTGACTCGGGACTTGAGTGCTAAGACTTGAGACTTGCTTGTAACTTGTAACTTGTAAAACAATGACTTGTTCCCACCTCTGGAAAGAAGTACCATAATATTGATCGAACAGTTGTCCGTTTCCTGCTGTATACTTTAGAGGGCGCTACTCATGGAAATTGATCTTAACTCTGCCGAATTTTGCAGGTACTGCAACTCTGTTGTGCTGATCTGTCAAGTAAATTAATATCAAAAGGGACACTTCCATTTACTGTTTCCGAAATAAAAGTCTAATTGACGACGCTATGTCCAGGCAATTGTTTGACGTGATGATGCTTTTGTTTTGAAGACAATACCCTGTTACATCCGGCTTTTCTCGCGCTAACTCTGGGAAACCTTACTACCGTCTTTCAGCATCATCCAAACATTAGCTTGCTGAGTAAGTTAGCTTTTAGCTACCCAAACTCCCCATAAAATAGAGCCGTTTGCCAGGCTAATCTATGAGTCGCAAAAGAAACCACAGTTTCGCTGAAACGAGCCTGTCTCCTGAACTCCACGGCGCCTTCATGGAGCACCCCGGGTCAGCGAGCCGAGCCGACGGCGATTTCCTGGAGCTGGAGCCCGACGAGGAGCTGCTGTGCTCGGTCAGCGACATCACCGAGCACCTTGGCAGAAATATCACCGTGGTGCTGGAGACAGCGCTGTCTGAGATCCGCAAAATGGTCAGCATCAGGATACGAGTCCTGAAGATGGAGCTACGCGAGAAAACCGAAGAAATTGAAGTGCTAAAGTCGAGACTGGATCCAGTCGGTAGGGACCCGTCTTACCCCGGCGTTTCGACCATGGAGCCGTCTGCAGATGCTGGCTTCAAGAAACCTGACTTCAGCTGTGGCAACAAACACAACAGTGTGGACCCCAGGAGAGCCAAAGCTGTCATGCCTGGCGTGAAGAAGGAGAATATAGATGCAATTTGCGACTATCTGATGAAAGACAAGAACTCGAGGGGCTGTGCTGAAATGGACGCAGACCAGAGCAGCCAAGTCAGCGGCGACCGGGAGGTTCGTCAAGAGCCGGACCCGCACTCCCTCAACCTGTGGCCAGACAGCGGGCTGGCTGGCTCCGGGCCTGGCCACGGAGACTCCGAGTCCACCACAGATGACATCTTCAGTATGCTCCCCTCTGGCAGCAAACGGATGTATGAGTACGAATGGATAGCACCAATGGAGTATTCGTCAGACCTGAAAGGTAAAGATACTGTGTGTGTGTGTGTCTGTGTGTGTGTATGTACACACAACTGAGGCCACTTCTGAAGACACTCATTGTATATAATCTGTGAAAGACCACCGCAGCCACCAAGTAAGAATAATACTTACTTTTGTCATTTAAAATATAAGTTTTGATTAGGTAAAAAGAATTGGCACAGTGGTGGTGCCAAGGAGGTTCTGGGTTTGAACCTGCCAGCCAGTTGGGTCCACTCTGTGTGGAGTATGCATGTTCTCCCACAGCCCAAAGACATGCAGGTTAGGGTGGCTGGAGACTAAATTGCCAGTAGTTGAGAACAGTTGTCTTTCAATGCGTTGACCCTGTGAGTGACTGCCGACCTGTCCAGGTGTACCCTACCTCTCACCCAGCTGTCAGCTGGGATCGGCCCCAGACCTCCAAAACCCTCTAAGGACAAGCAGGTGGATGGATTAAGTCAAAATGATGTGATAATCAGTCAAATTTTGTGTACATGTGAAAACAGAATAGATCAAGCTGTTAAGGCGGGACTGGATACAGTCTAGGGATGGCAGGGAGTTTACCACGTGTTAACAATAACTGTCATTAAAAACAAATCAGAAACATGAATTACAGTGTAGGGTAAGAGACTGTCTTGCACAAAAGCTACCAAAAAGGAACGTTAGATTCTCTTGCACCTGGCCGGGGTTAGGCTCCGTGCTAAAGAGACCACGTAGAAGCTTGAAAACTACAAAGACAAAACACGTGAGGCTAAACTTCACCAGCTGCCGTAGAGCAAGCCTTTCTTTTTATCACTGGCAACTTTTCATCAGTTTTGTCTTGTGCTAGGAGAAACATCCTCCATAAGATGCCAGTCAAAAATCACGCAGTACTGCTTTCTCCGGGACTGAGGTTTTTTGTGATCCTGTTTCTCCTAGTCATGAAGGAGCCTGAGTGTGAGAACACCCCAACCGGTGAGACAGAGGATGATGATGATGAAGATGAGGCGCCGAGAAGGGAGGGCAGTGGACTGGAGCAGGACCAGACCCCGCTCTCACACATCCAGGCCTCTGAGTTCTCCATGGAGCCCCAGAGCTCTCCAGGGGAGGGAGGGAGTCCCCTGGAGGGCAGCACAGACAGGTCTGCGGCAGGTGGGTAAGGAATGATGGGCAGAATTACAAAAACAAGACCAGAAGGTCTGATGGGTTTGATCCAATTATCTCTTTCTCATTAACTAAGGGTGCTGAATATACACAGGTACATCTTTAAAAAATAGAATATCATTCAGTTCATTTTTTTCCATTAGTTAGTTCAAAAAGTGAAACTTTCATATATTCTAGGTTCATTACACATAAAGTGAAATTTTATTTTAGTTTAGCACTTTTACACTACATCACATTCACCATTCACACACATTCATGCACTGGCAGAACAGGGGCAAGGAGGCTCCCCCCCTACCTAATACTAACACTGTCTATATAAATAGTGGCTCAGGAGCTGGAGCGGGTTGCCTCTACCTCCAGAAGGTTGGTGGTTCAATCCCCGGCTACCCCAGGAGCCTCAGCCTCATGCTTCTGATGTGACACTATTTATATATACAGTGTTAGTAGTAGGTAGGGCTGGGTGAAAATGTCGTCACAATAAAAAATTTCATGTCATTCGATATTGATCATTTTTGTGATGAATGTCAAATCATTAATTCTTTATTTATTTAAGTGTAAAGGCTGTTTTTCGCTCCTGATTGAAAGTTGAAGAAACCAGATTGTTTAATGAATATTAATATTTATAATATAAATATTAAAACTATTCTTTATGGTCAGAACAAACGCTTGATGCCGTGTGGATCAAATCTGAGGTAGAACATTCAAAGTAAAATCTTTTTTGATCAAATATACATGAGCAAAATTAAGTAAAATCCTTTTTTAGTCCATTCAGTTATACATATGTTTAAAATTAAGCTAACAACTGTTACAGTTTAACACAGTGAAGAACTCGTCTCCAGTACACCATGCTTTATTTTCCGTCTGTATTCATCAGCAGTTGCTGTTACATTTTATAAAAACAATTTCTGACGAAATTATATTATTATATTTGTGAATCTATTGTATACCAAATCAGTCAATTTATAAATATAGCTCGATCTACTGTACGTAAAGAAACCAGAAGTCTGATGAAGGCGAGGTAGCTGACAGTGTTGAATAAAGCATGGTGGACTGGAGAACAGCTGTGTGATGTGTTCCGGTGTTGGATGTGGATTACAGCCCTCACTGCTCTGCATCTCACTGACTGTGATATTTGTTTGTGGTTTCAGGCCAGCAGTTCCCCAGCCACACCTATATCTGCTCTCTGTGTGGAACCTTCTGCCCCGACTCTGTGTTCCTTGAGGAACATGTCAAAATGATACACTCGGACTCTGCTGATGCCCAGGCTCTCCGGGCCCTGCAGTCCACCTGCTCAGCCGCACCTGCCACGGGAGACGGCAGCAGTAACTCCAGGAGAGGCGGAGGGGGGCAGAACGAGGGCGGCACAGCAGTAGGAGATGGTGCCGCCATTGGTCGGGGAGGGGGGCCTGTGAAAAAGGAGATTAAAATTGAGGGGGGGTACGAGTGCGGGGTCTGTGGCCGCCATTTTAACTACCTTGGCAACCTGCGGCAGCACCAGCGTATTCACACTGGAGAAAAGCCCTTCATGTGTCCGGAGTGTGGGGAGAGGTTCCGCCATGCAGCCCGTTTAAAAAGCCACCGGCTAGTGCACAGCGGAGCCCAGAGCCCCTTCCCCTGCCCACAGTGCGGGAAAGGTTTCTCTGTGCTCTCCGGACTTAAGAGACACCAACGGGTGCACACTGGCGAGAGCCCATACGCCTGTCCACAGTGCGGCCGGCGCTTTAAGGAGCTGGGGAACCTGTACACCCACCAGAGGATCCACAGCGGGGCCACGCCCTACTGCTGCCAGCAGTGTGGACGCAGCTTCCGCCATCTTGGAACTTACAAGAGCCACCGCTGCACCCCAGCACAGTAACCAACCCAGCTGCTATTCCAAGAAGTGTGAAATGTGTCGGAGGCAGGACTTGGTGCTGACTCTGAGTGCGGCTCTCCACTGGCACCGGGGGAGGTGCTGGTCATGTGGAGAGCAGGGCTGGTATTCTTTCGTTCGCGTTCTGTCACATTCATGATATTTCACCCCTGCGTCAGGACAAGCTTTATCATAGAGCTCGACATCTTAAACAGCAGTTTGACAAAACAATGTCAACTCAGAGCGTTCATCTTCATCACATAGGCTCCTTATCAGCAGACGGAGTTTGCCGAGTTGTCGTGGTACTGTAGCTGTTCAAACTTCAAAGGACTTTGCGTCCATGTTGACTTAAAAGTTGGATGGGTATTTTTGACTACAGAAACAGACAACTCCACGACATCAGAGCAAAGTCCATCTGCTGATGGAGACTGCAGGGTGTGGTTGAGAGCTGCAGAACAAGCTAGTTACTTTAAGGTGAGAATGTTTTGTTAAGAGCAGTATCAGAGGCCATCAGACAGCACATAGTAAGAGGTGATTGTGTTTTACGTGAAATTAAACTTGTCGTGGGGGGGAGGTGAGACAGGCCTGGAATCATCAGTGCAGATGCTCAGAAATGGAATACTCCAGTGGTTTAGCGTTTTTTGCCAATTTACTATCATTTGCATATACTTTAAAAGATAACTCCTGTTGATCACAACTTGAGTTTGTAGTTTTGCCAGTCCATTTCTATCAGTAATAAGAACATTGTACTCAGTGTACTCAAGTCCAGTGAGCAAGAAACAAGCAGTCAGATGATCAGGCAAGTTGGAAATAAACCCTCTGATCAGTGAAACTTATTTGCAACAGTGCAGTTATTACCCAAACTGTCTGTTGTAAACATCCATCACAGTTTGCAGACCCACTTCCTGCTTCAACTTTGACCTGTTGTGCTTATTGTAGTTTTGGGATCTGTTGCTCAGACTTCCTGGATTGTATTTCATACCACCCCAACATGCATTTCTCACTGGTTCCTGAAGCAGCTAGGGTTGCAGTGGTATACCGGTTTCACAGTTTGCTACAGTATGAAAATTGATGGTTATCCCACATGTACATATACATGTGCTCATCTACGGTAAGGAATTCTATTGTATTAGTGTTATTTAAAAAAATGCAGGCGGAGAATCTCACCAGCGCATGTTCTTACCTCCTCAACTCGCCTGTCAGACTCATCAACTTGCGCCATACAGTCACATCCCTCCTGTGGAGAAAATGTCAGAGACAGGAGCAAGGCTGATATCACCAATTTCCCATCCCCTGAAAAAATAACTTTGAATATCCCAAATACCAAATACTTGTCATTGAGGACGGATATCTAGTTTTTAAAAAAATGTGGACTTGTGGCCAAAGACAACGTTATGTCTGTCCTTTTAGTAACGTCCAACTTACAAACGCCACATCTTACCCCGATCTGACCCCTTAAAGAAAGCAGGCAAACATCCCCGGCTCGCGGGGCCTGACATAAGTGAGTGTGAGTTAGAAGTACAGACAGGAGCAGTCTGGCTGCGAGGTTGCACACCAGTGTAAGTTAATTGTTAATAATCACAGGACGTTCTTTATGCTCGCAGCTCCATTTTTTTCATGTCGTAGTTCATTTAACATGCTATAGTGCTGACATGTAAACGAACTAACTTTAGTTAAATCACAAAAACCCTTCTCTTTTCATTCCTTTGGGAGTCATGGCAATTGTGTAACATATACTGTGATGTTTTATGAGGCGGACTGGGGAAAGATCATACCATTTCAACCCTAGAAACATCACACCCCCAGCCACGCAGCCTGCTGCATGGAACAGAAGTGTTTGAGAGTCAGATTTTCTATATGGGTAGACGCTCCTTTTTCAATGGAGCTAATTTTACCAGCCATTAAGCACAGGGGTGGATATTTGTCATTTAGTATCACCTTAATGGGCAGCACACGTCGGATTGACACATCCGGGCTTAGCTTGAAGAAACATATATGGTTAAAAAAGACATGGTTCTAGCACAATAGGAACTCCCATAGAGATAATGAAGTGAGAGTTACATTCATGTCGGTACGCTGGACATTAGATAGAGACTTTGGTGAAATGTAACATTGAAAATGTTGATTACATCAGGGGGATCCATTCATTTGCACCTAAACCTGCTCAGCCTCCAGGACACTCTGCCGTACCCTCACTGTACCTGATCAGTTGGACACCACCACCCACATGTGGACTGACTGTGTAGCTACAACAAGAAAGCTCTGGGTCACACTGCTGACTGTCTTTTATCATGCCACTGCTTGGTGCTATGTGTAGAGCAGAAAGTTTATCATATAATTTCTAACCAGTGTAATCTCATGTTACAGACTATATATTGGTTATTTTATATGTTTGCCTGTATGATGATTAAAAAGTGTTTAAAAAAAACTTGAACTAAAATAACATCCCAAGCTTGTCAGATTAGTTTCCAACGAGCTTCTGTGTCTTAGCACTGTGTGGAAGACTAAAAGCAAGAAAACAACGCATCTAAACCTGTGGAAGTGAAATGCGACCCACAGACAATCTGCTTTCTAATAAAAAGAGTTGTCTTATGTCATGAGTGTCTTTTTAACATATAACAGCAGTGGAATATAACAAAGATCATGTGTAAGGACACAGAAAGAATAGTATGATTGAATTAAATTGTATTACTGTGCTTTCAGACCAAAAGCAAAGCGAGCGTTCGGGGCGGTGAGTTTACATACAAAGTCAATGGAAAGACGTGTAGAGCTGCGATTTCCTGTCGGGCGGCGCAAAGTGACGCAAAGGGGGCGGTGCTGTCGACGTGAGTTGAAAATTTCCAACTCGAGCGAATTTTCGTGTGTTGTTATCGGCCTTCTCGCATTGTATGTGTGAACATATGCGAATGTAGTCACGCGACGAAAGCGTTGCGAGGATTAAATTCGCGTTATGTGACTGACGGATGTTTCTTGTTGCCCAGGTGTTGCCTTTTAGGTTGATTGTCCAAACATTAAATAGCTCTGCATGACTAGTCTAAGTTTTCATCCTTGGTTCAAACCTATAAAGACTGCATTTCCTGTTAAAGAGGATAAACCAACATGAAGACCAGAGAGCTGTCTATGGGAGAAAATCAAGCCACTGTCAAGCTGAGAAAAGAAGGAAAATCGAGCAGAGCCATTGGACAAACATTGGGCATAGCAAACACAACAATGTGGAATGTCCTGAAAAAGAAAGAAACTACTGGTGTACTGAGCAAGAGACGTCCAACAGGTCGGCCAAGGAAAACAACAGTAGCTGATGGCAGAAATATGGTGAGAGCTGTGAAGAAAACCGCCAAAACATCAGGAAGTGACATCAGCAACGACCTCCACAGTGCAGAGGTGAAGGTATCACAATCCACTGTTGGAAGAAGACTCAGAGAGCAGAAATATAGAGGCCACTCCACAGTGATCCGAAGCAAACAAGCTCATCTGTGAAGCATGCTGGAGGTCATGTCATGGCTGCTTCTGGAACAGGCTCATTAATATTTATTGATGATGGAACTGATGATGGTCGCAGCAGAATGAATTCAGAAGTGGACAGAAACATTTTGTCTGCCAGTTTACAGAGAAATGCATTGAAACTAATGGAGAGGAAGTTTATCATGCAGCAGGACAATGAGCCAAAGCACACTGGCAACAAAACAAAGGACTTCATCAGAGGAAAAAGTGGAAGGTTTTAGACTGACCAAGTCAATCAGCTGACCTGAACCCAACAGAGCTGCATGTCACCTCCTTAAGAGGAGACTGGAGGGAGAAACACCCGAAACAAACAAGAAGTGAAAGAAGCTGCGGTAAAAGCCTGGAATAGCATCACAAATGAAGAATGCAACAGTTTGGTGATGTCGATGGGTCGCAGGCTTCAGGCAGTTATTGCAAGGGTTAGGCCACCAAATATTAAATGTTATTTATAAGATTATTTGTTCCATTACTTTTGCTCACCTAAGAAAGTTGTTCAACACATCTAGATGTGAATACCAGGAAATGAAAGCTGAAATTCAGAACTCTTGTCTCATACTCATCTTTTGATCTTAAACCCAAATGTCTTCAGTGAACAACAAAAACAAAGGAATTTGCCTTACAGTTCCAGTACTGTTTGAGGGGAATATAGGTTATTGTTGACAGTCCAAAACATATGCATATTAGCAAGTTATGGCATGAGAGAGAAAAGGCGTACTAGCCAATGGTATCTTCCATGGTGATCTTTATCCTTCATGGTTGATGATGGGTTTTTTTTTCATTGGAGAAAATTCAAATACAACACTTTGACATATTTCAACCATCCAAAACTTAAAATGTTGTTGAAAGAGCATTAGATTACAGCAAAGCCAAAAGAAAACAAACAAAAAGAAAGAAGGAAATTGTGAGTGTCTTATTCAAGTGTCATGAATGAGTCCAATAAAGAAAAAAGGTTTGCGGGGATTCTTGTTGGTCATGTATTGCAACGATTTTTCAAAATGTGGTCGATTGTTTGAGAACGTACGTCACTTTCAATTGTGGGACGACATTATCTCCTTTCCTTTCATAAGGATGGTCCAGTGTACCCTATGCTAAAGGAGATAAGAAAGGAAGTATTGAAGCACTTTTTCTTAGCAATTAGAGAATGCCACTTAAATACTTCCAGGTCACTTCACTCTGTTAGGAACCTTCCTAAGCAAAAAAGACTTTTTCGACTGCAGCCTAAGCCTATAGCAGTGATGTTCAGGGCCCGCATTTATCAAGCTTCTCAGAATCACTCATAAGAACACTGCTAAGAACTGACTTAAGAGTAAAAAAAATTCTTGGCTCAAAGCTGTGCTTAAAAGTTAGTTATCAAGCATCATAGTCCTAATTTGAGTGAAGTGTAGGACTAAATCTTAAGTGACAGTCTTAGTGCTGATTCACGACACTTTGCTGTGCCACAAACAGGATTTTGGATGACAATGTAGCCAAGGACCAATCACTGAAGAGATTTCCTTCTTTAAGAATATTCTCAGTAAATTCACATTGAATAGTGAAATTCCTCAGAGGAGTTTATATTCAACACACATTTAACAATGAAGAATTTTCAAGATAATACATTATGATATAGGCCTAAACATTAATAAATGTAAGATAAAAAAAGTTTATCTTTATATGAGCGCCATCAGATGCGCCTGCTACTCGTGTGAAGCTAGCTATTTGCATGTACTGTGTTTGCATCTATCGGATTACGGGGGTGTTGTTGGGAAGTTGATGAAATGTGTGACCATGTGTGGAGCTGTAAGTGCTATAATTGTTTCCATGACCATTCGGCTTATTGATGGATGTGACGGCCAAAATCATCAGCATCGCTGAGTTTGTCCTGACGCAAAGAAACGAAGCGTGATCATTACTGCGTAAAGTCAGTGGTGAGATGGCGTCCCTCACCAACTTGCTGACAAAGATTATGCCTGCGCTGTCCGACCCCGTCTTATTAACTAGGCGCTGTCAGAATTCTTCTCCTCTCCTCTCCTCTCCGCATGTCTCTGTCTCCACAGCGCCATCATAAGCCCACAAGCACTGGCAGCTCCTAACCACTTGAGAGACCTCTCGAGCTGTCTTAAATAACTGGGAGAGTAAGAGTGATTCTTAGCTTTAAGAAATTTGATAACTTGATAACTAACTATCCGAGTATATGAACTATCCAATTGCAAATCATGCTGTTGTACTGAAATGTGAATGTACTGGCTTCATTCATTTCCACACAGTGAAAATCTTTTAGCAGAGTGTGAAACTTGCATTAGTTGTCTAAACCAGTGGTTTTCAAAGTGGGATCTGGGGACCCCCAGGGATCTTTGAGGTGGTGTCCCCAGCAAAAAGGTGAATCATTTATTTTCACTATAATTCCATCCATAAGTAAAATAGAGACTGAACACGTGACTATTTTGGTCATGGATTTTATACACTTTCTGGAATAAAACATCTAAAAGCCAAAATCCTATCAGGTGGGCGATCCTGGGACAAAATCCTATCAAATGTGGGTCCGTGGTCTAATTTGTATCAGTTTAGGGGTCCTTGATGTGAAAAAGAACCACTGGTCTAAACCATCATAGTGCAGCATTTCAAATTTGGTAAGTTTGGTAAGTCAGAACTGATAACTTCATCCTGAATTTTGTTATATTTTGCTGTGAGATCACAGAATATATTACAGTGTTCAGACCCTCTGTGTTTTTCTGGTTAGATTACAGACACAACTGCTCAGAAGGCAGTTGAGGTATGCAGATCGGTTGCTATAGCAACAGTCTTGTTCAACGCAGGATATAATCAGCTGTTGAAAAGGTGCTTGTTTGCCTGTTGGCTGCGAGATTCCAGCACTTAACAAATATCCCGAAAGTCTTTACAGTTTTGTTGCACTGTGTGGACTGGGCAAGACTGGCCTGTAAACACACAGTAAACGGGGAAGTCACTTTTCTGGATAGAAATCACTATAACATTTACATAACTATGTGAGGGGTGTAATGATCATAGACGTTTTGTCTCCAGTTGGAGAGCGTGTATCATTATGTTAGGGGAGAGTTGTAACAACACCAATTCCACCAGTTAGAGATGAGGAGTTAGGTGATCATTTCAGTATTTACCTACTTCCTCCCTGATCAGGCATGGCAGTTATCAAGTCTGGAAACAGGTACATTCAGAATATATAGAAAAAAAACTGATTTTTAGGTCAGAAAGTAAATTTTTTGACCAAGACTATATTTTGTTTAGTATCTGTACTATTGCACTTAAATTGTTCTACCTATATTAGATTGAAATGTAGTTTCTCAGGTCACATGTGATGCATTATTTATTTTCTAATTTCAAACCACTATGTTAATACAGCTGGCTAAATATTGGCTGACAGGACTGGGGTGGGTTGTAACACTTCTTTAAAAAGTGCTATACATACAACTCGGGATTTTCTTGATTTTAATATTTTACGGAGTGCCCTTTGCAGTCTGGGCCCACCAAGCCTGCACTCCAGGATACCAGCATTTATTTTTCAGCACTGTGACCAGTACTTCTCATTCATTCATGTTGGTGTACGTATTGGCACTCGATCTTCTCCATACTCCATCTCCACCAGTGGAGAGGGCAAAGAAGTGGACGGGCAGCTTGTGAGAAATTCCACTGCGCAAGAAAATGTCCCAATACACCAAAGAGTAAAATATAGAAGTGCCAGTACTGCGTACCGGTGAGTACTGGCCCAGTTCAAGCAGACTGTGACTCTGATTAAGAATATACACACACTGACACACACCTCTTTGTTAGACCTAAGGATGTACAAAGATGTTCTTTAATTAAGTAGCCTACATTTTAGTAGTATTTATTAAGTATACTGTCTACAGGCTAGTTAAATTTACACACAACCATCAGACATAGTCTGTTACAGTGAGAGAGAATCATCATTCTTTTACATCACGTATAAAAGTTTGAGAACTCTAGCTACAAAATTCAGGCAGGCAGGCAGGCAAGTTTATTTGTATAGCACATTTCAACAACAAGGTAATTCAAAGTGCTTTACATAAAACATAAACGCAACAGGGAAATATAAAAAAGTTTAAAAGCAACATAGGGA